TTCCCTGGGACTTGAAAAGTCAACTCCAGATCTCCTTAGGAATTATAAACTATACCTTTTTTTTAAGTTTATTTATTTATTTTGAGAGAGAGAGAGCATGAGCAGGGGAGGGGCAGAAAGAAAGGGAGAGGATCCCAAGTAGGCTCTGCACTGTTAGTGCAGAGCCCAATGCAGGACTCGAACTCGCAAACTGTGAGATCATGACCTGAGCAGAAACCAAAAGTTGGGTGCTTAACCTGCTGAACCACTCACTTGCCCCTAAACTATTCCTTTTCTACTGTGAGAATTGTGAGCCATAAAATGTTTTTACCGTTTTATGTGCAAATATTGTATATGGGATTCCCAGTACTATTGCCACCAGATGGATCCTCCAAAAACTAAATTCTCCATCTTGGCATGACCTTCTCAGAAGTCTTTGGCCTTGTTTACTTTCAGAATAGAGTTTAAGTTTGTATGCTACCATTCAGGGCCTCTGTCACTCAGCAAATATGTATTGAACATTTATTATGTGCCAAGTATGTACCTACAAAGGTAACAGGGAGACTCCATGGGGCTTGTTTACTTTTTCTTTAACATGAATCCTTGGCTGTAAGCTCACTGGCCTCTTCTTTGCCCTCTCAGGACCTTTCCTTCATTTCTGGAACAATCTGACAACCTCTCTTCTCTTCTTTCAACCCTTAAACCTTGTCCCAGTTCACCCCTGTGGTACAGTGAGCTGATGTTGTAACCAAACCAACATGAGTTGGTGCCTTGGTGAGTCAGAAACTACAACAGGGTGAGTTTTCCCACAAAGAAAACTTTTATGTGTAGCAAATAAGATCATGGGGAATGGCTTCCAAAGCTATGACTGCCTGAGAGAGGGTGAATGGGTTCCTTTTGTTTAGTGTTAGGATGAATATTTAGATTGGGAAGACTTGTCTTCCTGCGTAGAGATGGGCGTAAGGGCACACATGCACCTTAAGGGAACATGACAACATGTACATTGTGTGTTATGTAAATGAGACTGAGTCTCCTCCTTGAGTGGAGGTTTTAGTGGTATAATGAGCTAAAGATAATCATAGGTCCTTCCACAGGTCACTCCATGGTCCATCTGCACAGGCTCCAGTCTGGTTTAGCAGAAATGATCTGGGTGGTCTGGGCCAGCAGGAGATCTTGTCAAGGCAGTGGCCACTACCTGAGGGGGCGTGGTTTTTGGTTTCATTTGTTGGAGTGAAGGGGAAAGCTGGGCAGAAGAGTGTAGGGAAAAATCTAGGACGAGGGTTAATGAGTCCAGGCAGGTAGACCGTAAAGGCCAGGAACAGGGGTCTAGCTGGTGACAATGTCACACCCTCAGGCTCCTCCCTGACTGTGGTAGCCCACAAGGCTGTCGTCTCCCTTCATGGCTTATCCCCAAATCAGGTCATGTCTTATCCCAAAGTTTCAAAGTGGAGAGGGAACTGTTTGCTTTTTTTACACGACTTTTATTTTTTTAAGTAATCTCTACACCCAGTGTGGGACTTGAACTCATCACCCCAAGATCAAGAGTCACATGCTCTTTCAACTGAGCCAGCCAGGTGCCCTGAGAGGGAGCTGTTTTATTTCATTTTTTTTTAAAAAGCTTGCTGTATGTTGTATAAATATTATTAATTTATATGGTACATTATGCCTAATATTCAATAAATGTTAGCCAAGTAATTTACTAACAGAAAAAATAGAAACCTAAACTTTCACTTTGCTGAAACCTGATATTTACTGTTCCCCTATTGGAATGTTAATTTGGAGACTAGGAAGTGTTCTAAAGACTGGGGGTGTTTTAAGGTCAGTGCTCCTATAAACAGCAGATCAGAGAGGGGCAACCAAATTTAGTGTCTATTTGGGGAGGGACTTCAAATGGACTTCAGAGGAAGTTTACGGATGAGAAGTTTGAAACTGCTCAGTGACTTGCCAAGAGTTGCACCATAGGTCAATGGCAGAGCCGCCACTAAACCACATTTTCACATGGATACCCAAGGGCGTCACAAGGGTCCTCTGTCTTGATGGGGACTTTTCTCTTCTGAAGACAGGATAGCCTATGGGGTTCGCAGTTCATGCCTTTATCTTGTTTTCCAACGGAAATTCCAATGATTTTTTTCTACCCAGTATAATATACTAATTCCAATAATTCCTTGAGAATTGGCCTCTCTTTAGAAATATGCATAGTTTTAAACTTGGCTCAGGTGCCAGAAACCACTCCTCTCTAGGAAGCTTTCATGATGCCCTCATCTTTTTGTTTATTTTTTGAGAGAGAAGGAGAAAGCATGCACGTATGCAGAAGTGGGCAGAGAGAGAGGGAGAGTCCCAAGCAGGCTCTGTGCTGTTAGTGTAGAGCCCGATGCAGGGCCCTGTCTCAGGAACTGTGAGATCATGACCTGAGCCGCGAAGTCTAGCGTAGGTCCCTCAACCAACTGAGCCACCCAGGTGCCCCCCTCCCGACTTTTAAACATATTTTTATTTTTAAGTAATTGCTACACGTACCATGGTGCTTGAACCTACAACCCTGAGATCAAGAGTTGCACACTCCCCCAAATGAGCCAGCCAGGCACTCCCATGAGGCCCCCCAATTTTAGCTAGGGATCCCTCTTCTTGCTCCACTTATACTTGACGTATGCAATTACCAAACTGCTGGCACATTCAACAAATGTTTGAACTTGTTAAAAAATGAAATTCAAGCAAGTAAATCTGAAGATTGAATTGGCTTTAGTTAATAATTCATGAACCAGTCAGTATTCCATCTAGCAAGTAGAAGGGAGTTCTGGGGAGCTGATTTCTAGGAAAGATGGTGGGGCAAGAAAGTTATTAGCAAAAGGAAAGTATTGTTCTGCTCAATCAAGTCATGACCTCAAGGTTCATAGGTTTCAGCTCTAGTTCAACATGGAAGCTGCTTGGGATTCTCTCTCCTTCTCTCTCTGCCTCTCTCTCTCTCTCTCAAAACACATAAAGAAAAAGTTAAAGAAAAAAAAAAGGGATTGTTCCTGGCAAGATCCTTTCCCTTAGGGAGATGAGCAGGGGGTCTTATCATGTAGATTACCTCATCTTCCTTTGGGGATAGAGATGGCCCATGTAACAGATTACTTCATAGGCACTGATCAGAAAATTCCTGACCAACTGGGTAAGATTTATATTTCTGATGCAGGTTGAAACTACACTATTGGATTAGGTATTTAGCCCCATTTGGTGACTTGGCCTAAGTGATGCCATTTTGGGCCTGTGCTTTTCTTTTTAACAAATTATACTGATTTGCACTATTTCCCCTAAGAGCTTCTAGAAATAGTTAAAGTGTTTATGAAAAGTGTGCCTCAACCAAATAGGTAGATCACATCATCAAAAGAAATACTTTAAAAATTAAGTTACTGGGGTGCCTCGGTGGCTCAGTCGGTTGAGTGTCTGACATCCGCTCAGGTCCTGATCTCACAGTTTGTGACTTTGACCCTGCATCAGGCTCCTTGCTGACAGTGTGGAGCCTGCTTGGAATTCATTCTCTCTATCTCTCTCTCTCTCTCTCTGGCCCTCTTCCACTCTTTCTCTCTCAAAATAAATAAATAAGTGTAAACAAATAAAAATAAAGGGAAAAAGGAAAAAAAAGAATCAGAGGCATCAATATAAAATCATGGTTTTTAATGTGTGTGTGTAGACAGAGAAATATAGATGTGAGGGTTAGCGTGCACACATTTCCTAGCTCTGTCTGCTTGGAGGGCCTAGAACAATGGAACCCTGGTAGCAATGAGTACATCTAGTACCTACATCTTGCCTTCTAAACACTGTTATCTAATAAAAGGAACCAGGACTCTGAAAAGTAATTGATTCCAGGGCTAGGATGGGATAAATACAGAATGAGCCTGAAGCATCTCCTAGGGTCAGAAAACAAGAAAGTGTTCCTAAAATGATAGGCCTTGTCAGGAGAACACAGGAACCAATCTGAATGGACAGGGATGGAATGATTATAGCAACAAAATAAATAATAACAATACTGGATTTTAACCTAGAGAGTAAATATTCATGAGTCCATACTGATATTAAATAAGTTAATTAAATGGGGGTTAAGGGATAGCAATTTCTTAAAGAAGAATTATAGTTAATAAACATAAAGGAGGAAAGGAAAATAGAAAATCACCATTAAGCAAATAGCACAGTAATAATTATGATCTACAAGATCCACTGGCAGGTGCAAATGTTTGTGGGAAAATCTAGGAGAAGCAGGATATTTACGTAGCCTCAAAATATCTCCCCCGATATAGTTATTAATTTTACAGGGAAAGGTAGTTTGATAGTAGAGGAATATATGAAAGTGGCAGATACCACCTTAACTAAGCCATCATTATCAGTATCACCAGTGATAGGACATGAACCTCTTGATACTATGCACTGAGGACACAGTAGCATTTCATTGTCATTAAAGACAAGGAAAGACTAAGGAACAGCAGAATGGAGATTAAGGGGGCACCTGGCTGGCTCAGTTGATAAGTGTCCAACTTCAGCTCCAGTCATGATCTCTTGGTTCATGAGTTCGAGCCCCATATTAGGCTCAGCGCTGACAGTGCAGAGCCTGCTTGGGATTTTCTCTCTCTCTCTCTGCCCCTCCCCTGGTCATGCTTTCTTTCTCTCTCTCTCAAAATAGATAAATAAAAAGAATGGAGATTAAGAAGAAGTGACAACAAATTGCAGTGTGGAAAACTGGGTAGGATCATAGAACAGAAAAAGGACATTTGTGGAAAAAGTGGTGAAATTAGCAACTTAGTTATCACTGGCTCTGATTGCTGCACTATGGTAATGTAGGATGTTAACAGTGAAGGAAGTTGGGTGGGAAGCATGTGCTAAAATCAGTTCAAAATAAAAATTATAAATCATGTGCCATAGAGAGTACACCCAAACACATATTCCAATAAAATTAACTGTTGCAATGTCTGTCCACAGCGGAGCGACTTTCAAACAGCTGGCTGGATGTTCGTCACATCGAAAAATATGTAGACCAAGGTAAAAGTGGAACAAGAGAACTGCTTTGGTCCTGGGCACAGAAAAACAAGACCATCGGTGACCTGTTACAGATCCTCCAGGAAATGGGGCACCATCGAGCCATCCATTTAATTATGAACCATGGTAAGCATTTATGATCCTTATGATTGGCTCTCTGTCCATTTTATAAGGATTGTAATTTGTAAATGCAAATATTGCATGTTGTTCAAGACCATGACTGGTTGTGCTGTATGTCAGCGATTCGTTACTTGAGGCTTTATCTGAAGGCTTTGATCACTTTTTTTGGGTGACACTTTCTTCTCTTATTGCCTCCATTGTACAACACATTCCTTTCTACCACTCGTTTAGGTTTTTTTTTTTTTTTACATTTTTTTAACTTATAAACTACACTTTTTTAAATGCTTCATTCTTAGCTGAGAGAATCAGCTTTCCACCCGAAACTCTGACACTAGTTGAATAATAAACAGAATCACAATATTTGAGTAAAACATAAGTACTTTTATAATTAGCTTTATCATAGAAGTTAAAATATAATTGGGTTTTCCTCCTTGCCCCTTGTATTTTAGTGCAAATGACACCTGCATAATAATCCTGGGATTTGTCTTTTATCTTTAGTGGCGGTTTTATGCCATGGCCTCTAACTCTGCATTACTCCTCTGCGTTTCACAGCGGCCGAATACTTCCATCTGTTTGTGTTGTCTGTTTCTGATGCTGTGTCATGCCTTAGAGTTAAAGCACCCTGATAAGTAAAGCTCATGAAGCTTTTCCCATTCATTCTTTATCAATAAAATAAGCTCCTGATGTCACCTGTTCTGTTTATTCCACTCTAGATTTATTCACTTCAACCCGAATGATCTTGAGTGATCTTGGGTCTTATGTTACAGACTCAAGGGCTCTTAGGCTGAAAATTCTTTTGAATCAGCATCCTTATTCTTTTGGCTCTTTCATCTAAAGATATTTTTAGCTCTGTATATTTGCATATTTTTAATGCACTTGAGCCTCTACCTTATCACCCCTACTTAGGAGAAATCCTGCGAAATTTGTACCAGAACACGGTAGCTTCAGATGGACTTTTATATGTTTTTTATGTTAATGAGATATTAGACAGTTCCCAGTAGGCTTGCACTATGATATTGCCTGTAAAACTTGGCTAATCTCTTTTGTCACTATTTCTTCACTTGGTTTAGTACCATAGAATGCTTCACTACGAAGTTGACTGACAAAGGTTAAATATAGTGAGTCCCTGAAACCTGTAAATGCATCGCCTTTTCATTCTCTGAGCCTTTTCCAGCTGCTGAAACTGCCCACATGACTTGCTGGTCACAATATAAACTCACACCAATTTGATAGGACACAGGGTCATGTTTTATATTTACAGATTCTGGAATAGATTTCAGGATACCTTTTCACTCTCTATGTTGTTTATTTACACAGCAGAGAATGATATGGACTCTTAGATGAAAATGTCACTGCTTGCTTGACCCCTGTTGCACATGCAAAATTGATTTCACTTTTAAAAATATGAGATTAGCTGATGGGTGGAAAGACAATGATTTGCTGCCCAAGTACCAGGAGATAGGTAAGTCTGAGATGAAGGGAAAGATAGCACTTTGGTCTGTAAGTCCTTTGCTGAGAAAAATAGCATTATTTAATTGCAACTTCTTTAGCTGATGCTTTGAAATAAAATCTTTAAAGTGTTAGTTGTATAGCTTGTTAAAAGCAGCAGTGTGATGATTCATGGAAATCATTAAGTGATCTTACGGAACAGGCGTCTCCTATGATAGTTACTCAATGAATTAGGAGTTAGAGTTCCTAACTGAAAATGCATAAAAAGATTTAGTCTTTCTTTGTTGCTACCATGGACAGACTTACCAGTTATCCAAATAATCCATTATCTGTTCAAATATCCATTTTTGGCTACCTTTCCTTGAAATTGTTCAGTTTGGTGGGATGGTTTTCATTTTAGAGGAGAGATCCCTTTGTGGATTTGGATTTTCCTACAAATCCTACCAAGAAAGGTCTTGTATTTCCTCCTAGTCACTATTCTTGCAATTCAGGTGGCGGCCATTAGTTAGTTGTTTTCACATCCATAAAACATTCCATCTTATCTCAGGACACAACCTAGTTGTTCAAGAAACTAGAATCTTTACTTGCTTTCATTATCTTTCTGGTAGGACTGACCTTACACGTTTTGCATTTATATTTCAATGGTCAGCAATTGTTTTCTACTTTTGACATGAAATCCACAGTTTTCTGCTGGCTTCTTAGGAGAGCCATTTTGAATCTTCCATTTTATATGACAATGAACTAATTTGTCCCTTTTTATGGCAACAAAAGGAAAATGGCTTTTAGTGCCCTTAGTTCAAATTTATTCTACACAATACTTACCCATGTTGTTTATTTCTTTTTCTTGCCTAATTACCGTGGCTAGAACCTCCAGTATAATGTTGAATAGACCAGACTTTTTTTGTTGTTGTTCCTGATGTAAAGGGGAAAGCATTCCATTTTTCATAATGATGTATGATGTTATTTGTGGGCTTTTCACAGATACAGTTTATTAAATTGAGGAAATTCTCTTCTATTCCTTGGGCTTTTATGATAGGTCATTGGATATTATGGGTTTAGCTCTTCATTCTATTAATGTGATATATTACATTGATTGATTTTCATATTGTAAGTCAGTCTTGGATTCTTGAATGAATCCCATTTGACCACGGTGTATAATCTTACATGTTTCTGGATTTAGTTTGCTAATATTTCATTGGGGATTTGTTGTTGCTGCTGCTGTTATTGAAGATTTTTGCATCTATATTCATAAGAGATATTGGGCTATAGTTTTCCTGTGATGTTTTTACCTGGCATTGGTATTAGGATAATCTTGGTCTCATAGAATGATTTGGGAATTGTTTCCCCCTCTTCTATTTTGGAAGAATTTGTAAAGAACTGATGTTAAATTTTGTTTAAATATTTGGTAGAATTCACCTGTGAAGCCATTCAGGCTTGGAGTTTTGGATTTCATGGGTTTGTTTGTGGGAAATCTTAAATGATTAATTCAGTCTCTTTCCTTGCAATAGGTCCATTCAGATTGTTTATTTCTTCTTGAGTTAGTTATGGCAGATTGTGTCAGTCTAGGAATCTGTCTATGCCATTTCAAGTATCTAATTTTCTTTAAGTTTATTTATTTATTTTGGGCAAGAGCATGCAAGTGGGGAAGGGGCAGAGAGAGAGGAAGAGAGAGAATCCCAAGCAGCCTCTGCACCTGCACAGAGACAGCTGTGGGGCTCAAACCCATGAACTGCAAGATTATGACCTGAGCTGAAATCAAGAGTCAGACACTTAACCAACTGAGCCACCCAGGTGTCCCTCAGTTATCTAATTATTTTACATGCAAACGTTCATCATATCTCTTAAATTGTTTTTATTTCTATAGGGTTGGTAGTTATGCCTCCTCATTTGTTTTTGGTTTTAGTAATTTGAGTCTCCTCTCTTTCTTTCTTGGTTAGTCTAACTAAATCAATTTTGTGATTATTCCACAGCACCCCCTTGGCTTCGTTGATTTTCTCTTCTGTTTTCATATTACATTTTTCATTTATTTCCACTGCAATCTTAATTCTTTACTTCCTTTTCTTCCTTCAATTTAGCACTTTATTTTCTGGTTCCTTACGGTAAAAATTCAGGTTATTGATTTAAGATCTTTTTTATTTTTTAGGTTAGGCATTTACAGCTATAAATTTCCCTTTAAGTGCTCCTTTTGCTACATCCAATAAGTTTTGGTATGTTGTGTTTTCATTTTCATTCATCTGAAAGTATTTTCTAATTTCCCTTGTGATTTCTTCTTGGATTCATCGGTTATTTATGGATTTGTTGTTCAATTTTCATGTATTTGTGAATTTCCCAAATTTCCTTCTGTTACTGATTTCTATTTCAATTGCATTGTGGTCAGAGAATGTGCTTTGTATGATTTCAATCCTTCCAAATTTATTGAGGCTCATTTTATTGCCCAAGATATGGTCTATCCTGGAGATTGTTCAATGTGCTCTTGTGAAGTATTTATATATTCTCCTGTTTTTGGATGGAATATTCTATAGAATGTCTGCTAGATCTAATTGGCTTGTAGTTTGCTCAAGGAGGACCGTTACTAATTGTGTTTTGTTGCCAGTCTTCTAAACAAAGGAGGTTTTTAAAACATTAGAATACAGTCAAAGAAACACTAGAAGATAAAATAAAACTTTTCTGAAGTCTGAATCAAAATGTCAGATGTGACAGCAAGATATTTCAGGGTTTTCATCTTTTGTTGGAAGCTACATAGACTACCTCATTTCAAATAGAACAGACAGAAGTTACGGTGTATACTTGGGAAGGGGTGGTAGGTGTTTGTGGTTGATCACACACACACACACACACACACACACACACACACACCTACCTCTAATATCTTATGGCACAAGAGGAGATAAAAAAATAAACTAACTTAAGGAGATATAATCCCATAATTATAAAACTTTAAAATATATGGGTAAAAAACTGATACAATGTTGCTTTTTCCCTTTCAATTTTCTACTTTCTACTTTAATATTTTTAATGATGTCTATCAATAATTTAAGGTAGGTAGGGATGCCTGGGTGGCTGAGTCAACTGAGCGTCCGACTTTGGCCCAGGTCATGATTTTATGGTTCGTGTGTTTGAGCCCCACATCAGGCTCTGTGCTGACAGATAGGAGCCTGGAGCCTCCTTTGGATTCTGTGACTGCCTCTCTCTCTGCCCCTCCCCAAGTTCCACTCACATGCACTCTCTCTGTCTGTCAAAAATAAATAAAAACTTTAAAAAAATAATTATTTAAAGTAGGTATGTGTTAACAAAAACATGTTTGAAAAATATTTGATGATTACAAAGCTATTTATATGTGTTAATTTGCAACCATTCAAAGGGAATGTTAATGCAATTAACGTTACTAGCAAGGTGTTTATTTTCACAGTCTAAGAAAGAAAAACAACATGCTTATTAGAGACATAAAATTTTGTCTATATCTACCTCCTGTTATTTCTCTTTCAGGAGCAGTCTTGAATCCTTCAGAGCAGAGTCATCAAAGAGATAGATTTCCAAACCTGTTACCCAAGGTAGAGTGTATGTGCATAGATAATGAACCTTGAACTCTGTTGCATATGTAATTGAGCAGGGGGATGAAATTATCAGACAGAAAAATACTGGATTTGCAAGTACTTTTTTAAAACCAGTAAAGCTTTAACTTTCTCATTGCTTTGTTTAGTTAGGGATTCAGGAAATTAGAGATTTGTGAGAAGAGTGAAGAGCTTCCTCTTCTCAGTGATCTGTCTTAGATAAGGCTTAGAACTGTTAAGAGTGCTGTGAATTGTGCATTTGTCTTAATTCAGCTTTTAATTTTCCTGTTCTGCTTGGCATTTTGCATGTTGCTGTTGCTTTTTAGGGGAACAAAAATTGGCGGTGATCATTTTTTATAGCTTTAGAAGTCATTTAAAATTGACTATAACTATGACAATGATACTTGAGTCTTTGCAGTTGGTATGGAAGCTTTAAATGTATATGACAATGAATACTGTTGAATTAAATAAAGTAACTTTCCTTTCTACTAGCTGTCTTCTAAATTAGATTCTACTCGATTGCACTGTATAGTCCAGGGGGAGCTTTGGATTTCCGTTAAGGTTCTGTTCTTTCTAGAGTTATGAAATGGAATTACTTCAGTATGTATTTCCTCTCTTAGGAAATAGCCAATGTCACAGTGGATAATGTTCTTACTCCTGAACATAATGAGAAAGGTAAAAAAAAAAATGTTTTTTTACTTTAAATCATGCTTTGCTTTAAGTTAATTTACAGGGAGAAATAGCAATAAACATATTAACTTCATTAATACGCAAGTTTAGGGTAGAATTTTCATAGATATTGAAATGCTTGCAGTTTTGACTGACACTGAGTTCTGATGGATGATATTTTATTGTTATATTAAAAATGCATTGGCCAATAGAGAATGTAATTGTGGTCTCTTCCCTTGGGAGGATTTCATATTTTCTGTTAGTGAAATTTGCATTTTTATAGGAGACATTTAAAAATTACACTGGATTTTATATAGTTTTAGAAGTTTTCATAGCCGTTGCAGAGAGATCTGTAGAGGTGTTTGTAGAGCAATGCTGAAGGCCACTATGAAAATCCCATTATTTCCATATCACCTTTATTTCTTTATTAGCAGGGAGAATAATTTAATTCTACTTGGGAATCATTCTGACAAACATTAATGGCTAGTAAAGGCTGCTTTGCCTCATCTTTACCACCAGACCTGTACCTTCTTTGGTTCAAAAGAGAATTAGAGAAGTTGGATGAAATTTGGGTCCTTTAAGATTTAATAATAAGATATAAATCAAACGGCAAATGTGGCAATATATCCAAAATTGGGCTGTGAAGGATTTAGCTAAGCTTTTCCCTTTGGAAATGTATTTGATTACCTTTTAAATGTTTTCTCTCGATCTCTGCTTTAGATTATTATTATTTTTTAAAGCTGAAGCATCTTCCTAATTTACTCTAAGGAAGTAAGTTAGAAATTTAGAGGACTTGGCTCATGAAAAATGTTTCTGTCAATCATAGAAAAATTTCTGCTTCTATAGTTGTTTTTTTCTTTTAATGATTTTAGGTTCATAGTCAGTCAAAAGCAGCCCATTGATCTAATGACAAGGAAATAGAGTCCTGGAAAACTTTCCTCAACTGAGCTCTTTGGCCGACCTCTTTGGAAGGGTGATAGAATCACAGTACTATTGTTCAGATATCTAAAAAGCCATTTGCTCTGTGGAATGGTGGGAGCCAGACCCAAGAGCAGAGAGCATATGATGGGGTCAGTTTTGGTTCCTGGGCCTTCCACTCCTGGCTTTCCGCTGGGCTCTGAAGTATTTCTAATATGGAACTTCTGGTTCTTTATAACGATGATGTTGATTCTTAAAAAAAAATTCTCCCTACTTTCTACCCTAAGGAATATTGTTTAAATCCTCCATCAGCTTTCAAGGCATCAGAGATGGAACCAAAAATTTCCACAAAGACTTCCTAATTGGAGAAGGGGAAATTTTTGAGGTATACAGAGTGGAGATCCAAAACCGAACCTATGCCATTAAATTATTTAAACAGGTATGGAAAGAATTACTATCGCAGGATATCATTTCCATTTATTTGCTCATATTTCATGCTAGAATGTGTCATTTTTCATCAACATTGAAAGGAGATATATTTGAAAATAAAACTTAATAAATGGAAATAAGATATATGACCTCAGGTGACTGGAGAAAAGGCCATGAAATGAATGCCTGACTTGGAGGAATGTGGAAGTGAAATTTTTCCCATCCCCAGATGTGTCGACGGAGAAAGACTTTTCTGAGAAGCCTTGTAGGAGCTTTGGTACTTTGCTTGTGCTGGTCTGCTCCAGTTGTCTCATTTTTTTTGTTTGTTAGTTTTGTTTTTGTTTTTGTTTTCAGGATGGGCAGTGTCTGTTCCAGGCAGCTTCACAGGCTAAATCACAGATTGGTGTTGGGTGCTACTTTACAAACTATCGTTTATCACAGTCCAAGAGGGTGGGAAAGGGAAGGCATCAAACAGAAGGAGCAAGGCAATGATCAGAGTTGGAGTTTAGCAGAAAGCTGAGTGACTACAGCCGGTAAAGCAGAGAGGGTATTTGGGGATCAAAGCCAGGAGCCTGGAAGAGACAGGTATGCACACATACACCCAGAAGAACTGATCTTCTGGTCTCCCTTGTTAAGGTCAACAGTCAATAAACATTCATTCAGTTCTTTCTGTGAGCTGGGTGCTGGGCAAGGATGAATAAGGCATCGTTCCACCCTCAGGGAGCTCAGACCTGTGGGGCAAACGGTCAGGTAAAGCAAAGATTAAGCTGCAGTGTGAGAAGTTGTTGAGCCCAGATTTGCACAAGAGGTCATGGGAGCCCAGAACAGACAGCCAGTGCGGAGACAGATCCAGCACCCAGAAGAGTGCCTGGCATAGAGGAAGTACTTGATAAACACTTCTGCAATGCACAAATGGAAAAAGTGGATGAAAGAAAGTGACCTTTCAGCTGGATTTCGAAAGCCTAGTAGAATTTTGGCAGGTAGGAGGCATGGGAAGTGCGTTCTGGGTGAAAGAAAGAGCAGGTGCAACAGCCCAGAGGTACGTGCGTGCGTGCATGCCAACATACACCTTACTCACTAATAACAGATCACTGGGTGGAGGGGAACTTCGTGTGGGAGGTGGGAAGGTAATGGCAGATGATATGGGAAAGGTGGCTGAAGTCGGTGGATGGTTTTTAAGTGGGCGGGTGAAAGGATTAGGTTTGTGTTTTTGAAATATAACTCTGAGCACTGATTAGACGATGGGCTGGAAGTTGGCAGAGGCGTTGGAGGAGAGATGGCAAGGACTAGTCTGGAGGTGGGTAGAGGAGGTCTTGGGTGTGTAGTGAAGAAATGGATGGTACTTAAACCAGGGTCCTCAAGCAAAGCTCCCCAGGTGGTTTGGATGTGTCGCCAGCGTTGAAAAGCACCGCTCTGAGCCAGGGCAGAGGCAAGCAGAAGGTATGTCTAAGACAAGAGGTGAAATGGACCAAATCTCCTGATTGGTTAGATAGACCTGGGCAAGTAGGGCAGAGGATGGATCTAAGGCGATTCTTCCTCTGCAGCTTAGATTATGGGGCCCTTTTTTCCCCTTTAGTTATTAACCTGATTTCTCCTGCCCCTAAATTACATTTTATGCCCACTGATTTTATATGGACGTCTCAAGATTCCTGAGGAGACAAATGGTCTAATAAAGAAATGAAACACCATTCAACAAAGAGAATGTGGTTATTCTAGAGGTGGCCTTACAGAAGCCTGTTTCCTAGGGCCAGTGGGTCCCATTTGTACGTTCTCTTAGGGTTGAGCCCCAGAGCCACCCCCCAGTGGCTAGAGCCCTCTGCTTTCCTCATCTCTCCATGGCCGCTACCAACTCACACTCTCTCGGGAGGTTTTGGGTTGTTTTTTTTTTTTTTTTTATTCTGGGGATCTGGCTTCAGAATGGAATGTCATTGCCTTTGGATCTCCTTTCCTTCTTAGAGACAATGATCATTTTCTTGATTGCTTCCAATCCTTCTGGTATAATTTTGGTGACCCTCCAATGTGCAGCCACAGCACCATAGCATTATCTCCTAACACTGATTTCTTCATGCCCCTCTCCCAATGGGCTAGATGCTTTTCTTTAAAGAGTCTTATCTATCTATCCTTGTATCCCAGAGCCTTATTACAGGGCCTGGCCCGTGGAAATTGCTCCATAAATGTTCATTAGGGAAACTGAATGAAGCATGTATGTCTTTTTTAGGAGTTTATTTGCTAATCTCTAGGTGTAAAAAGACAGGAAGTAACAGAGTTGCCAAAGACCTAGAAACTATACAAGGCCCTAAGTGTGCATGCACACACACGCTCACACACACACACACACACACACACAGAGCAGGAAAGATGGGACAATTTAACGAAACCTTAGCCATAGAGTATTTGTTTCTAAAGAAATGTGGTTTTGTAAAATTGGAACACTAACTTCAGTAACCTTTCCTGGAGGGACTGAAGTGGGGAAGTGTCCACGATGCCTCAGATAGGTGCAGCCACATCACCTGGGGCTCTTACAGTGCAGATTCTGGCTCGGCACACCTGGGCAGGGACCTGAGAGTCCGCATTTCTTATCAGCTCCCAGTGAAGCTGAGGTTCCTTGTGCACTGAGCATTAAGCTAGGTTAGCACGAACACAAAAACTAACTCCTGCTTTTTTCAGAATAAGAAAACAATGAGGGAGGTTAAAACAATAAGAAAACCTCAGGGAGGTTAAGTGACAAAAAGTCACAAATATTGAGTGTTAGAAATAAGACGGAGACCAAATCCACCTGGCTCTGAGGACAGTGACACTTTGAAATGTAAATTCTCATAAAGTGGTCCATGAAAATGATTCGTTAGCCTCCTTTATTGTTTCTGACTCCCTGGGTTAACTTGGAAAATAGCTTCCAGAATTCCAGTTGGATTTCTCTCTTTCTTCCTGAGAACAGAGTCTAAAAACCTTGCCCTGTCTTGCAATTTACAAATGATAGAAACTTAGAGCTGATGGAGGCTAATAACATACTGAATTCTTTTGCAGTAGAAGTTAGGATCTTGAGATGCAGAGACATGCAGTGACATAAGGGTTATAAAGCCATCAGGAACAATACCAGGGACAGAGAAGGTCCTTATACAATATTACTGAATTCATTAATTTATTCAATAAATACTCCTGTGTCAGGCACTGGGATAAGCTTCTGAAGATTCTTTGAAGTAAGGAGTTATGTTTTTCAATTTCTTAGTAAGCCCATCATTTCAAAATTAATACAAAGGTAAACCTGAAACCAAATGACCCAAATCATAAATGCCAAATTGGTGAAATCACTTCTAACCGGAATACAGCTATCGCAAACTGGATTCTTTTTAATACCAGGTAGGGCATTTCTGTCATGGGATTTTCTTTGAATACAGATCATATTTTTAAATGTATGTAAATGTGTACAAAATATGGTAAACGGGTTTAAATATAAAATACGGCAACATAATACCCTGCATGAAAAACTTCTAACTTGAGAGCGGTGGTTATAAATCTTTTTGGGAGTTAATGGCTTTTTGAAAATCTGATGAAAATTAAGGATCCTCTCCCCAGAAAAATCTTTATATACATTTACATCAAAAAGGTCAGCTGGTTTCAGGAAGATTATTGACCCTGGTTTACAAATCCCAGAAATAGAGATCCTTTTCTTAATTTTTTTTCTTATTTTTCTCTATGATATTTAGGAGAAAAAAATGCAATGTAAGAAACAATGGAAGCAGTTTTTATCTGAGCTTGAAGTTTTACTACTGTGAGTATATTGGGTCTGGAGTTTCTCCCTCCATGCCTGGTTTTCATCTTCATGCATTTTTGATTCTATAGCACAGTGCTTGGCATGGTTGGCATGTAATAAATGTGGGGTGGATATGAGAACTTGGGGTAAATTTTTGACATCTGCTTTAGTGTATTCCTTAGAACACATTTTAAAGTGGACCATTCACATAATTCACTTGAACATATTTTAACAAGAAACTGTCACAAGGAAGTGGATTAAATCATGTGTGACTAACATGGCTGAATGTAAAATAACTCCTCCAACATTAGAATTGTATATATTTTACTGTTTCCCCCTTCCTTAGAGACATGTTAGTCCGAAACTGTTTCATCAGTATTACCCTCTTCAGGAAGAGAGTTTAGACAAAGGAATCAAGTGCTTTTGATGTGCATATTATTTCCTGGGAATTCATTCATGAGCCCAGGTGTCCTCAGAGACAAACTGAAATGACTTCATTTTCATATATATTCATATCTGCAGCTGTACAACCTGCTCATTGGAGGCCCTTAACTCTGTAGACTTCACTCAACACCCTTTATGAAAAGAAATGTTCTTTTCAGATGTTTTCTAAACCAGTATGTGAAGTGGGTGGTGGAGGAGGAGGCATTGCACTAAATCCTGTTTCTATAGCCTGGGCCAGCAATCAAAACATTTAGCATTCTAATCCTAAAACCTTAATGCATATCATTTAGTCAACAAAAAACTAAAGCCAACATTGTAACCACAGAAGGTTTCTACATTTGAGCTTTATTTATTTGCTAATGAGTAAGTAATACATTGGAATTTTTCAAAATTCTGAAACTGCCAAAGGATAAATCAAGAAAAGGAATTTTTCCTCTATTGTCTTTAGCCACCCAGCGGATTTCCCCAAGGGCACAGCAGTCATCAGTTTTTTGTAGGTGTTCCCAGAAATACATTGTGCATAAGCATGTATGTGTTTTTTTTCTCTCTTTTTTTTTTTAGAGTTTATTTATTTTGAGAGAGAGAGCACGTGAGCACACACGTGTGTGTGCAAGAGCAGGGGAGGGGCAGAAGAGACAGAGAGAGAGAATTTCAAGAAGGCTCCACTCTCTCTGTGCAGAGCCCAGTGTGGGACTCAAACCGTGACCTGAGCCAAAATCAAGACTCAGACATTTAACTGACTGAGCTGCCCACATGCCCCTCTATTTTGTTTTCTTATTTTCTCATCAGAGGTAGCATATATATTGTTCACTCTTATTTTAGTATTCCATTGTGTTCCTGTACTGTAATTTGATTAACCATTCTCATATTGTCAGATTTTTAGATTTTTTCTAATCTTTTAATATTAGAAAATAATGTTGCAGGCACGCCTGGGTAACTTAGTTCGTTAAGTATCTGACTTTGGCTCAGGTCACGATCTTATGGTTTAGGTCGAGCTCCGAACATAGCCTTAGTCTTATGTTATAAGACACAATTTTTTTTTTTTTTTTTTACCAATAGTTTATTGTCAAGTTGGTTTCCATATAACATCCAGTGCTCATCCCTACAAGTGCCCTCCTCCATGCCCATCTCCCCCCTCCCCCCCACACCCATCAGTCCTCAGTTTGTTCTCAGCATTCAAGCGTCTTTCATGGTTTGCCTCCCTCCCTCTCCCCCACTATTTCGCCCCTTCTTCTCCCACTTGTTCCTCCATCAAGTTCCTCCTAATCGTCCTATACGTGCAAACATATGGTATTTGTCCTTCTCTGCCTGACTTATGTCGCTCAACATAACACCCTCAAGGTCCATCCATGTTGCTACACATGGCCAGATTTCATTGTTTCTCATTGCCATGTAGAATTCCATGGTATAGATAAACCACATCTTCTTGATCCATTTGTCCGTTGATGGACACTTAGGTTCTTCCCATGTTTTGGCTATGGTTGAGAGTGCTGCTATGAACATGGGGGTACATGTGCTCCTATGCATCAGCACTCCTGTATCCCTTGGGTATATTCCTAGCAGTGCTATTGCTGGGTCATAGGGGAGTTCTATTGTTAATTTTTTGAGGAACCTCCACACTGTTTTCCAGAGGGGCTGCACCAGTTTACATTCCCACCAACAGTGTAGGAGGGTGCCCGTAAGACACAAATTTTTTACCGGATTGACATTTGTCTTTGCCTATTCTAGTCTTTGCTGTGCGGAAGTGGTTTTAATGTAGTTGAGTTTAATCTTTATTTTCTTTTATGGATTCTGGGTTTTATATCATAGTTCCTAAGACCTTCCCCAGTGAAAGGTTATAAAATAATTCTACCACGCTTTTTCCAAGTACTTTTATGATTTCATTTTTTTACATTTATGTCTCTTACCCATTTGGATGTATTCTGGTGAAGTATTTATAAATGACTTTTAAGAGAATTAACAACCCCATGATGTTGAATACTCTTAGTGTGCTATTTTTATTATTTATACCAGTAATATTTATTTAGTTTTAGGCTTAATACCAAATATATTACATGTATTAATTCTTTAATCCTCACAGCAATCCTGTGAGGTAAGTACTGTCATTATCTCCATTTTACAGATGGGGAAACTGAGGTAGATCCTACCTTTTTGAGAAGGTCCAACTTATTTCCTAAATCTTTTTCAATCTCCTTCTTCTCAGATAGTTATTAATGAATAAGTCAGTTGTAGCCCTCTCTCAGAACATGCTGGCTGAAGTGGGATTAGGAGAGAAGCCCGTAAGTTAAAAGGAACAAACAGTTTTGTTTCAGTAAACAAAGTGGTAAGATGGGGAGGTACAGAGCACTGAGGGAGGAGAAAATGGTAACCCCAGTGTGACGGGGTGGGGGACTGGGCAGCAAATAGGCTTCTCGGAGAAAGTAACATCTCAGCTGAGACCTGAGGGTGAGTTTTTCAAGTTCAATATTAAGGGAAGTGTTTAATCCCTGAGCCTTAAACAGAATTGTGAAGTCCTTGGGATGTGGCTGCTGATTCCTTTTTTCCCTCCTTTCCCAAGGGGAGCAAAGGGAGCTAATACTTTTTGAGGACCTAACACCTGGCTAAACACTTACCTTTCCATTTAATTTTCATGAGAACCTTGCGACGTGACGTTTTAATTACTGTGTACAGTTGAAGAAGCTTCCTCTCCTAGGGCTTCTGTCACAAAAGAGACAGGGTGACTTAAACAAAAGAAATGTGTTTCCTCACAGTTCTGGAGGCTGAGAAATCCAGGATCAAGGCAGATTTGGTTCTTGATGAGGGTGCTCATCCTAGCTTGTAGACGCTGCCTTCTAATTCTGTCCTGAAAGCGCGGAGAGGGAGGAAACAGACTCTCCAGTGCTTCTTCTTATAAGGGCACTCGCCCCATTGTGAGGGATGCAGTCCTAACCCTGACTGCCTCCCACAGGCCTCATCTCCAAGCACCTGCGCATTGGAAGTTAGGGCTTCAGCATGTGAGCTGGGTTGCCAGGGGAGTGAGTTGGGGGAGAAACACAATTCAGACCACAGCAAAGAAACAGTCTCACGGAAATTAAATAACTTGCCCAAGTTCACACAGCTGATAAAACAAGACCAGAGATTCAAACCTAGGTTTGTCTGTTGTTCAGGTCTGTCCCTTCCACCACATGGTGGTCCCTCACATTGTGTTTTATCTGCAATAGACACAATTGCTGGTTGAATTGATTTTCAAAGTATTGTTTCAGGGCGCCTGGGTGGTTCCGTCAGTTAAGTGTCTGACTTCAGCTCAGGTCATGATCTCACTGGTCCTGGGTTCAAGCCCCACGTCAGGCTCTGTGCTGACAGCTCGCAGCCTGGAGCTTGTTTCAGATTCTGTGTCTCATCCCCTCTCCCCACAAAATAAACAAACATTAAAAAAAAAGGTATGGTATCTGCAGACCTTCAGATCTATATAATCTAAAATCCTACAACTTAAAAATGTGTAGTAAAAGGATGGCTGAGAAGGGCCCGTAGATGCAAAGCCAGCAGCAGTCTTTATGGCTGCACCACGTTCCAAACCTCACAAACTTGTACAGTGTCCACTTTGCTGCTAGATTGGTAGTATCTAAAGATAAGCAAGCAGTCACTTCTGCCCTGTGAACAAGACAGCAGAGCACCAGGGCCATCACTGCGTCTCTATGAAGTCTGCTAGCTGCTTTCCAAAAGATTTCTAGCTCTTTAAATTATTTTAAAGTTACCAGGTAGTGGTATAAATGAGTTTTATAGGTAGTCAAATACACCAGCTCAGTTCCTTTTCAGTCCATTGTTTTTCATTTTATAGATATGGTCAGAATTGCAATAGGGGTAGGGATCTTGTGTACACACACACACACACACACACACCTTTTAAAAAATATTTTTTAATGTTTCTTTTTTATTTATTTTTGAGAGAGAGAGAGACTGAGCACGATGAGCTGGGAAGGGGCAGAGAGAGAGGGAGACACAGAATCTGAAGCAGGCTCCGGGCCCTGGCCTGTCAGCACAGAGCCTGACGTGGGGCTCGAACTCGAGAACCATGAGATCATGACCTGAGCCAGACGCTTAACCGACTGAGCCACCCAGGCGCCCCAGTACCCTTCCTTCTTTATGATAGGAGGAATAAAAGAAACCTGAAGCTGTGTGTGTGTGTGTGTGTGTGTGTGTGTGTGTTTTATAGGAAGGTTTTACTATTGAAGAAACTAATAATAGGCCTTTGTAAATAGAATTTTTTAAAAAAACCTTTATTATTAACCCAAGCATGCCTAGAACATCGTAGATCATCAATAAATAATTAAATTGAACTGGGTTCATGGTATAGGTGAATTTCACATTTTATGTTTCATATTTGTTACCTGAGTTCCATTGGTTTTCACAGTGATGATACAGGTATTCTAGAAACAGAGTTTTGGGGCACCAAAACTATATCTGACAGCTAGCTCAGAGCCTGGAGCCTACTTCGGATTCTGTGTCTCCCTCTCTCTCTGACCCTCCCCTGCTCACGCTGTGTCTCTCTCTCTCAGAAATAAATAAAACATTAAAAATTTAAAAAAAAAGAAACAGTTTTAAAGGAAAAGAGGCTGAAAATGCATGCTACACTGACATAGGACTCTCATTAAAAATCTTTTTTTAATGTTTATTTTTGAGAGAGACAGAGACAGAGAGTACAAGTGGGGGAAGAGCAGAGAGAAAGGGGGACACAGAATCTGAAGCAGGCTTCAGGCTCTGAGCTGTCAGCACAGAGCTTGACATGGGACTCGAACCCATGACCTGAGCTGAAGTCAGATGCTTAAACCACTGAGCCACCCAGGTGCCCCAGAACTCTGCCACTTAAAAATCAGTGATATATTTGGAGCACCTGGCTGGCCCAGTTGGTGGAGCATGCAACTCTTGATCCTGGGATTGTGAGTTGAAGCCCCACATTTGGTGGAGAGATTACTTAAAACTAAAATCTTTAGGGGCTCCTGGATGGCTCAATCTGTTGGGCGTCTGACTCTTGATTTCGGCTCAGGTCATCGTCTCAAGGTAAGTGGGGTTGAGCCACATGGTGGGCTCTGTGCTGACTGTGCAGAGCCCACTTGGGATTCTCCCTCCCTCTCTCTCTGACCCTCCTCCACTCGTGTGTGCACACACTCTCTCTCTCAAAATAAACATTTAAAAAATCTTCAATAATAAATAAATAAATAAATACAATAAAAATCAGTGATATGTTCTTCAACATCAAACTTTACTAATCACATGGATTTTATGTAACTGATTTTAGCTTTATGAAGACCCTGGATATCTTCTTTAGCTGTGTGATGGGTACCTGGCACAGAATCTGACATAGTAATACTCACTAAATGGATGGGTGAAAGTAGTCTTCCGTATTCTTCTATTTTGGTGATTTATACAGTATACTTAAAGTAATGAAATGAATAGTTTTAATTGTATTATCCCTATTTAATAAATCTTTATTTGTTATCTTTATTAACACTGGCTTTCATATTGATAAACATAGTTTAATAACAGAGAGTGTCGTCTATTTCTTATAAAGTTCCCAAGACTCCCAAATTTTAAGAAATCGTCACTTTCTTAAATTTTCTGTCTTATATTTGGATATTTTATTTATAGTTGCATGATCACAATCAAAGAATGGCTAGTGTTTGCTAGAACTCTTTAGACCAATTTGGAAAACAAACTTGTGTCATGTGTCCAATGAGATTACTTCTCCCTTCTCCAAATTTATATTTTCCTTTAAACCTATTCCCCGCCCCACCGTATCACCCCCAAACAACAGCACTGTTCATTTCCTATCTGAATGAACAATTTGATAGATTTAAAAATCTTTTGTTTCAAGGTTCCATCATCCAAACATACTGGAGTTGACTGCATATTTTACAGAGAGTGAGAAGTTCTGCCTCGTTTATCCATATATGAGAAATGGATCACTTTTTGACAGATTGCAGTGTGTGGTAAGTCAGACCTATGACTTCCCCCCAACTCTCTGACCTCCCGAAACCCTGAGAGACCTGCTGAAATCTCCTGAGATCCAGGAGGCCAACATGCGTTCACATAAGGGGATCGTCAACAATAGGCTTCCCGAGGAAGTAGAAGACTTTTCCATGAATTAATATTATACTCTTAAAAACGACTGCACAAATACCTGAGTTATTGTGTGTTGTGTAATGTGGTGGCCAAAAGATTTGCTGGAGCCTTACTCCTTACTAGTTCCATATCTTCCATGAGTTTACATTAACTACTCTTCTTTCTTAGATAATTTTTATTTGCATAACTTTACACAAAATACCATTCAATGCAAAGGGTAGACATAAAGGCGATTCAGACTCCTTAAAGAGAAGAAAGTTGAACCAATGCCTTGATTCCTCATATTTTTGAAAGATAAGTTTAACAATTTATTCTGAATATGTTACATTTCAGTGAGGATCAGAATAAAAACAGATTGTTCTCAATTACCCACACTGTTGTGCCACAAATACTTTAAAAATCTTACTTAATGAAGTTTTAACCATAGTTACCTTACTAAGCATATTTTGATTAAGCTAAGGTTAAAATTTTTGGGTATTTCTATTGGCTGTAAAGAGGACTAGAATCATTGGTAGTAGAGGAAATTGTATCTTGAATCACAAGTCAGTTATGGGAAACCAAAATGTTCATTCCCCCGTCTTCCCCTGCCTTACCATCTGCTTCTCTTCTTAGCGTACCTCTATGTACTGCACACACGTGTGTTTTACTCCCAGACCAACCACTGTTGTCTTTTTAGGGTAACACGGCCCCACTGTCTTGGCACATTCGGATCAATGCGTTAATAGGAACGTCCAGAGCCATTCAGTATTTGCACAACACGGAGCCGTGCTCGGTCATCTGTGGCAGTGTATCAAGGCAAGTTGTCCCAGGGCTTGGCTTGCACCCAAAAGCCCCTTTCAGCATCACAGGGGAGTCATACTTCACACTCTTTTCTACCTGTAGTTTCCCTGGTATGTATGTGTGTTTAAGGATTAAGAACGCACATCTAAGTATTTAAAATTTTTCGTTTATTTATTATTTTTTATTTTGAGAGAGAGAGAGAGAGAGCAAGAGAAGGGCAGAGACTGAGAAGGAGAGAGAGAAAGACTCCCAATCAGGCTCTGCAATGCCAGCGAAGAGCCTGATGCAGGGCTTGAACTCACGGACTGTGAAATCATGACCTCAGGCAAAATCAAGAGCCAGACACTTAACCAACTGAGCCACTCAGGTGCTCCCAAAATCTTACTTTTTTTAGTGCAGTATAATTGACATACAATATCCACTTAGTTTTAGGTGTACCTTCTAGTGATTTGATATTTTTTTTATTAATGAAAATTGCATCTACCCAGTTTCAAAAGCTACATCTATGTTGCCAAAGGGAGAGTTTATATTATCTTTGGGAATTCTAATGAACAATGTAGGATAGATTGTTTTGCATATTTTATTAATTATACCTGACACTAAACTTTGAAGTGCACCTGTATTAATCTCACCTTTTTCTTTTCAAGTGAGGTTTAAGGGAAAGTTAAGTGACTTGTCCGGGGATTCCTAGCAAGGTAACAGCAGTAGACTGTAGACGATGATTAAAATTCTTTGTCCCTGAGTCCCCAGTGTCTTGCTGATTCCACTGAGCCTGCAGGCTTCTCACTTTACATCTGGGACAAGCCAAGCAGTAACTTCGGTGTTCATTTTTGAAACATGAGAAAATTAGAAGCACCATCTTCCATCTTTCTTTTTCTTCAGTAGACCTAAAGAATCTTTCAGCCAGAGAGTAGATAGGCTGTAACAAAAATCCCCCTGGTGAATTTTTCCTGTGCGCCCTTCATCTTGAATCTGTTCAAAAGTAGGTAAAGACACCTTGGTGGAGTAGCAGGGATGACTGAATTTAAAAGGCTGATGCCTTTTCTGAACCATCTACTGGTATCTTGCCAAAGCATCTAGTGTGCTTTTGAGTTGAGCAAAAGAGGAGCAGATGGCTTACTTCCTTGTTTTCTGGTGAAACGAACTCCATATAAAAAGAATAGATTTTGGGGCGCCTGGGTGGCTTGGTCAGTTAAGCATCCGACTTTTGCTTAGGTCATGATCTCGCGGTTTGTGGGTTCGAGCCCCGCGTCGGGCTCTGTGCTGACTGCCAGCTCAGAGCCTGGAGCCTGTTGCAGAGTCTGTGACTCCCTCTCTCTCTGACCCTTCCCTGCTCACGCTGTCTCTCTCTCTCTCCTAGAAATAAATAAAAACATTAAAATAAAAAAAAAGAGAGAAAAAAAGACTAGATTTTTACTTGGCCCTGGGGGGCATAGGGGAACAGCCCATAGATGTCTGCTCCTGGGGCATGGTGGTTAATTCATCAACTCTAGTGGCCCCACAGAATCAGCACAAAGCGGGTGCTGCCTCAAGGACCTGGAACAAAGAAAGATACACCATGAAGGTGTCAGGGGTCTGTTTTGAAGGGCCACCCCCAACCTGAAGGAATCCTTCTTCCACCCACCTTACCACCAGCTCCGCACAGTAGAGGCCCAGATATATTTTATCTGAGTAAATAAATAAACACCTGGAACTTTGCTGTATATATTTTTCCTTTGGTTTAAAGTTAAAGTGAATATAGCTTATTTTCAGTCCCAAGCAGTAATACATAATGTTATTAATTTCCCTTTTGTATGCCTGAGCTCATAACATCCTTTCTTGGAAGCAGAACTTGATAGGAGAGAGGGGTGAGAAGCAAGAGAATGTTAAGGTTCTGATACCTGATCGGCTAGGGGGACAGGGATGACCACCAATGGGGAGTGTGGAGGGGGTTAGTGACGGAGGGATACAGATCCAGCCTCTGCCTGTATCCAAGGTTTTCCTCAGCTTTGGATTTCCCCTGCTGGCATCTCTCTCCAGGGATCAGGTTAGAGCTCAGGCTGTGGCCGTGATAACCTGCTTTCTCCTTCTGGATAGGGGCCTTCAGGCAGGCTCCCAGGAAATAGGCTCAGAGGAGAAATTTGCCTGCAGCAGATTTTTTAGAGTGCTCTCAGGAACAACAGAAGTAAGGGAGGAAAGGAGGAAGGCAGAATCAGGCCATTGGAGACATTGAGCTGGGATATTGTAGGGGGACAATTGGGTGGGAGGGGTACACAAACATTCTGTCCACAGCACTCACCTCTATCATCAATTTATTGTGTTCGGAAAGCAGACCTCCAAACTAAGCTCTGCTTTAAGAAAAATCACTTCTGTGTTAACATATGGCTATTGCACATTTGGAAAATCATGTTTATTTTAGTTAACAAATATTTATGGAACACCTGTTGTATGCAGGACATTATATTAGACCATGTGGGGTAGACATGGGTGATCATAGTCTTGTCCTTGAAGGTTTAACCTGGTGACCAGAAGGATAACACAAACCCAGAGAATATATAGTGCAGTACTAAAGACGGCTGGTTTGAGAAGGCTCGCTCTAACTACAGAGTTCCAAGCCCAGTCTTTCGGGAGATGGGTCATGGCAGTGGACTGGTTGAAAGAAGAGGAGAGAACAGTCCTAGTGGAGGCAATAATTTGTTCAAGGGAAAGAGTCAAGTAAAGAGTTACCAAGTGTATAATGAAAGCAAGACAAATGGAGAGGAAGAAACAAGATTGGAGAAGAAGGAAAGGGCTCCTGGGAAGGGCGAGGAACGTCATGGGCAGGGGTGCCATGGGCTTGCACCCACTGGGGTGCCAACCAGGCTGAGGACCTGGGTAGGATAAGCGAGGCTCTTACGAGGGACTCTGAGGCTTTTCTGAGACCATAGGTGGGAACAGAAAGGTTCTGGAGTCTCTTAGGAGGCCTTACACTTAGAAGGAGGCCATTTCTTCCAGGCTGGTATCTCAGGTACTTGTCTGGATGGGCCCAAGTGTAAAATCATTTCAGCAACACTGCAAGGCAGAGTGCCGAATAGCATTACAGATAAAAGAGCAGCAAGGAGATCTGGTCAGAGACAGAATTTCACGGAAGAGGCAGGATGTAAACTGGAAATGTGCTAACAATGTATTTTATTTTTTTAGTTGGTAAAGGGGCTATTGCTGATTGTTGCCTTTTTTGGCTTTTCCAAAGGGTTCGAGGACTCAAACATAACCATCTGTAGACCAGGCCTGCCCGGGCACGCGTCAGGGTGTGGAGTTCCAGGGTTGTGGGCATTTCTTTGAGATTGTGGTTTCATAGGGCTCATCAGTGTGTCCCTGTCTGTTCCAGACCAAATCAACCCCTTCTACAGCCAGTGTACTCTTGGCCTTTCTGCTGAGTCTGCCAGCAAAGATGTTAATTAGTACCAGCCATAACAGTAGATTCCTCCCCTTTCCTTTGGTGATGTGTGCACCTGTTCTCTAGAAACTGGAATTAAACCAACTCATTTCATGCAGGGCACCGAACATCTGATGGTAATGGCATTCAGCCTCCAGCAGGCCTGACCAAATGTGAATTGGCTGACCCAGATCACCCTCCTGAATCTTTTAAATGAATTCTTTACTTTACTCTAAACTTGAGTCTCCTTGATTCTTGGTCCCTGTTTGTACAGCCTGGTGCTTTCAGGAAGGTCTAAGATTCCTATTCTTCTGCCTGCATCATATGAATTTTCTCATTCTTTGTAAGGAAAGGCAGCTTTTAGGGAAGGTATCATTTTATTGCACGGCCCTGATACTTTTATTTTCTTTTCTGGACCTCAGACTGGTGAATCACAGGAGAGTTTGTCATACATCATTTGACACGACTAAATAATGTTTTTAATAGTATGAAATAATATGGGACAATGTGCATAAAGTGAGATTACGGGGAAAAGGCCAGATTGGGGGCGCCTGGGTGGCTCACTTGGTTAAGGGTCCGACTTTGGCTCAGGTCATGATCTCGCGGCTTATGGGTTCGAGCCCCGCGTCAGACTGTGTGCTGACAGCTCAGAGCCTGGAGCCTGCTTCAGATTCTGTGTCTCCCTCTCTCTCTGCCGTTCCCTGCTTGCACTCTGTCCTAAAAATAAGCATTAAATTGTTTTAAAAGGCCAAATTGAACTAGTGTATGGTATAGTTGTAACTTTTAGAATTACAAATTCATGAATTAAACAAAAAAGATTAGAACATACCAAAATATCAACGAGGCTTTCTTTAGATGGAGACTATGGCTTTTTATTTAACAGCTTATTTATTTACTTATATATTGTGCCTTAAAATTTTTTGTATAAGGATTCTGTTCTACTCTTCAAAGAAAAGTCCTTGTCTGGAAGCTGGCAGGTGAATTCTGAACCTTCTCCCAGGGTGTGGATGTGAAGTGAGATAAGATGTAAAGCACAGCCCAAGACTTGGCAATAAGATGTAATTCGTCCCTCTTCCTGGGGACTCTTCCTTCTGCCTTCACGTGTCTCCTCCAGCCTGTCCTTGGGCCCTTGCACAGCGTGTTGTCAACATTTGGGTCCAGATTTAACAATGAGAATGTCATTTATTTTGAGCTAAAGCCTCTCTTCCTGTGAGTCACCTGTGAACCATCATTGTGCCACTACAATTAACTATACATACCTGAAGAAGAGATAAACTCCATTTTACTTCTGCTTTGTCTTCAATAGTTTCTTCATCTTTTATGAGGAGCTGAATAAAAAGACATTTCTTTCAGTTAAACTGTAGTAAATTAGAAGAATAGCAAACGGAAAAAGGAGGGATGGACCGTAGTCCTGGCTCTGCCATTAACAAGCTGTTTTGCAAAAAAACAAGTCATTTCAACCATGTGGACTCATTTACCTCCTCTGAAAAGGAAGTGATTATACTGTAGTGGGGAAGGCAAATCAGTTTCATCTCACATTCCATCATTCATTGATTGGTAATGACTTCCCACCTGCAGTGTTGAAAGAGAACCTGGGGTGGGTGCTTTCTGAACTCAATTA